GGACCAGTTGGAAGCAGAAAATGCAAAAAAGATACAGAAACAAGTAGTATGTTGGTTCATTATAACTTGGGAATTTAATAGTCCTATTGCTGTTGAAAGAAGTCGCAAGGATATGGTTAAAAGCTGTAATGTTCATTGTTATAAAAAATGGCCGGACGGCTTAAGCTCGATAGTAGTTCGCGCTCAAGTAATTGATTATAGAGGCCAATAAAATGGGTGGCTCTGTTGTTTTATAAGGATGAGTTATTCTGGGCTGTCAGCTGACTTTGTTGTAGACCATATCCGTAAGGTCCCAAGTCCATACATGGGCAGACGTTTTTGGGGTTTAGCTGATCTCTGAATACGTTTCCCCCTCCATGAAATGAATGACATTTCAAGCCATGTTCTATTAAAGTCAGCCAGTCTAAGCGGATGCATACTCTTGTTTCTTAGTGCGCACTTTGTAATCGAAAAAATGACAGTAAACTAAATACACTACTCATAAGGTTGTTGAAAACTCTTCAACAACCCAAGACGGGTTTTGCTCTTCCTAGAGATCATCAGGTAGGCTCAGTCCCCGAGCTTCCATCAACCTTATATTCTGCGTGAATCCAAATTGCAAAAATTAGTGGAATACACTCATTTGCATGTCGATTTGGTTTTTTTCATCGGAGACTCACCTGGAACCCAGCTGAATCTACAGTATGGTTGCTCTACGGTCTAGTCAACAGCTGCCAGCCATTACCACTCCAAAGACGGAAACATCTACAACCGCATGCTAAGTGGGATGCTGCCAGGTGTCCGGAAAAATCGGCAAGCTATATTTCAGAAGAGATGCACTATAACGTTCGAAAGTAGAGTACTTGAAGGATGACACCATTATCCGCATATGGAACACCCAGATGCTACGGGTACCCATGGCCCTCAGATACAGACTGGTTTTGGCAACACCCAGCTGCTACGGGTACCCATTGCATGGCCCTCAGATACAGACTGGTTTTGGCTTGCGATAAACATCTGCGCGTTCACTTGCCTATTCGAGGCCACATCAGCGCCAGCCACTTACATGTAGCATCGCAAACTATCTGTGACTCCCTCTCGCAACATGTATGCAAGCGAAATTTAGATAATGAAACAAAATATATGCAGCAATTAGTTTTCTTTCGAACTCTGGCTTCAATGGACTCTATATAAGGTAAGTTTTTTGTTGCGCTTCGACTATTTCGATTTTTGATAAACGGTTATGTGTACATTAGGTTCTAGGACATTTTACGTTGTGATTACGGCCGATTGACTTAAATAGGATAGATATTTTAGTACGCAACAAGGTAATAACCGGGTTTGTTTTATCTCTGGTGTTTCCCTAATCTAGACGACACAACTATCAGACAAAGTAAGACCGCAGGGGTTTTCTTAACTGGGGAGTCGATAAAGGTGAGCCCGGGCTTGTCTACTGATAGAGAATTCATCCCATGAAGGTGATTGTTTCACACGTAAAAAGTAATGACGTATAATCCAACTTTGGTCAACACGATCTCCAAGCCCAACAGCAGTTCGCTTACTCTTTTATTGAAAAATTCGAGAGTCTGTTTTGTAAGAAAGTGGGTATACTTCAGTTTCTTCAACGACCAACCGGTTCTTGTTTACAGATGAGTACCACACAATACATGGTTATACCATATATATATATATATATATATATATATATATATATATATAACGTTTTTGGGCGTGTCATCTCTACCGCATAGCTATAAGATTGCCCAATAAAACAGAATAACTTATTCAATTTTAACTCGTTCCTGCAAAGCGGCATCAAATTCGCAAATGCAACACTACTTGTCAGTCAGTAGATTTTTTTAAAAAAAAGTACCAGCACGTATACCGATGTATTCCTGTTGAACAATTCTGACAGAAGGCACTGACCAGCAACCAAGCAAAACTCTGAGTTGAAAAAATTAAAATGAAACTTTAATTCTGAGAACTGTGGTAACAAAACAGCTTCATTGTATCACTCAACAACTATTCTCAACCAAATCAATCGATCCGGTTTCTAGGACAGCTGTAAAACAGAAAAGGAGCAATTCTGGTGGCCGCTATAGTTAAAGTTCTATCTTTGTCATATCAGCAGGATACACTTTGAGTGTTTTGCAAGAAACTCAACTGTCACTCACCCTATAATTGTTGCCGTAGCGACGTTCGAATGCCTGACATAACCACCGGGCGCCTTCATTATGGTCAGCCTCCTGGGCATCCGGTGGATAGCTGACCACTGTAAAGTGAATGACAGTCATTTGCGTTACAGAAAATCATTGAAAAATTGAAGTTGTTCAGGCAATGAAATATTCACCAAACGTACAAATACGGTCATTCGATTAGAGGCAAGCTGCATTGCCCAACTTGTTTTTTGTGATGTCAGTTATAATTTTCGTGTGCATCACATTTGTCATATATCCTTCAGTGACCGTCCAACAAAAGGTAAGGAGCTCAGTTATAATTTTCGTGTGTATCACATTTGTCATATATCCTTCAGTGACCGTCCAACAAAAGGTAAGGAGCAGACATTTTGGTCAAATTATCGAAACAGTCACTATATCTCGGCTTTAATTTTATCGTACCATTCGTGTATCATCGCTTTGAAACTTCCAATAGTGAAGACCGCGATATAGTGGATGGATTCTTTGCGGATGTCCCAACGCACTTAGATCAGTTATAAGCCGAGCTCTAAGTTCATCCATTTTTACAATATTTCGGCACCTTGTCTAGAATTTTTATAATTCCTTTTCGGCTTACAGTGTAACCCGGGAGATGGGAATGGGTTTCTTATTGAAATTTTCGAGAAAACAAAAGACAAATCTTTACCCAACTAACGGCTTTGAAGTTCCAGTAAAACAGGATAAGCTAGAAGACTCGAAATACTTATGAAGCAATAATAGAAACTATATAATATATACTATATGATAAAGAACGTGTGAAGTCATTTTGACCAAAGTTATCCAAAGACGAAGAGGAACCAGCACAAAAATAACGGGATGGGCATACAGACAAGTTTAAACTGCATATTTTTTTAATACGATTTTTATTGGTGCTTCGAATAAGAGAACAAGATTGGCAAAAATCTGGTTCACCTCGAACAAAGGAAGCTGGCAGACCGGACCAATCTTAGCGTCGCTGCTGGTTCACCTGTCCACTTCCGCCTACTTCGGTGAATGTTCAGTCCTCCGGGATTTTCTGCTACTTCAGTGTGCGCGCTGTCTTCACGATTTCCTGTGCTGGTTTTCTGAGTGACTTACCCAGACCAGCGCGCCCAGCCAGGTAATGTCCTTTCATAAAGGAAACTACTCACAAGGTTACTGAAAACTCTTCGACATCCTACTACCGGTTTCGCCCGTCTTGGGACTCATCAGGTAGGCGCAGTCCCCGAGTTTCCGTCAACCTTATGTTCTACTGCGATATTTTGAATATCGTGCCAACTGAAACATGAGGCGGCCTGTGTGCAGCCCATTCAGTTGTAGAATATCATAAACGAGAGATTCAGTTGAGTCTCTCGTGAAAACCAAATTGAGTTGCAAATGAGCGCATTTCTCAAGTAATGTCTTGTTTGTCACACACACATATATACAATCAGAAGACCATGAGTAGACTCGCAATTTCACCAGTATGTATGCAGGGACTGTGGACGTGTACGTCAACGGGACCTATTCAATAGACTTCCCAGCAGCTTGAAGGAGAGCCCGGGTTTATGGACGTCTGCAACCAGCTATGGTAATGGACTCACGGATCTTTCGTATCTCAGATATCCGCACATGAATAGCGGGTATGTGCAACGCATCTGGGTAATTGTACCATCAAATGTGGTGTAATAATCTCGGCCCCTAATCTTTCATCGAATAGAGGGAACACAAGACATCCACTTAACTGAAGATCACGACTCATTTATTGCGCCATGAAATTTATTACGTTCAAGCTGCCACCGAGTTCACTGTATGCAACGCGCTTGTTGGCATGGCTACCCCAACGTGCAACACGCACATATGTACTACGATTGGTTACAAATCACGTGAGCTTCTACTGGCTCAATGGACATCAATTGGGCAAACCATCAGCCCTAATACTTCCAGGTCCAGTGGTTAGGTTCGGGCCAAGGCTCAATGAAGTTAGGGGTGTGCCAAGGGCAAGACGTTGGTGATGCGAGTTGATTTGAATACTAGGTAAAAATCAAGGGATAGGGATGGTAAAAATCGTGATAACATTGTAACTACTTTGTCTGACGTTTCGTTTATGTCAATTCCTGCAGCGGCCGAAGAGCTAGACATGATCACGACATTTTGAAGTCATCAGGAGGGTTAAGCAATTGGTATCCATTTGTCCTTTTGCAGGATTTTCCGCGTTCTCAAAACACATGGTTATTAACTCGGAAAACCCATTGATATAAGCAGACCGCCGGGTGAATGAAATGGGTGTTGTGTATGTGTAAGTCAGAACTACGAGTGCGTATAAATCCGGTTACAAAAACCCAGCCAAAACAGGCACAAGAGACAAAATCTAGGGACGTCATGCTCACAACAAAAAACTTAGACGTCGTAGTTTGGTTTAGTGCCGATCTGTAAAGGACAAAGTTTCCCATTCGATGAACAGAATCGAAGGGGACTGGTTTGAATCATACTCACTGTTTACCCCTACTGTGAAATGTTTTCGGCAGCTTGAATCCACTCGTCTACAGCTTTAGTAGTCGGGAAGAATATTGCGTTAAAAGGTCCTACAAACATACCAAAGCAAATTTACCCTCTTTTGCCTGGTTGAACAAGTTATCTATACAGGAAAATGTTGATAGCTCAGGTATCGTAGATGGTGGTCGTTGGCTTGTCTTGTTAGCTGGGCAATTTGATTGCAAACGTTTCATCACCAATCGAGGTGACATCATCAGTGCGTTATTGTGGAGCGTAGTAGTGCGTAGCGGTGGGTTGGTGGTTGTGCCACACAATAACGCACTGATGATGTCACCTCGATTGGTGATGAAACGTTTGCAATCAAATTGCCCAGCTCAGCGAACAAGCCAACGACCACCAGTTATCTATACGTTTCAATACACTCCAAAAGTGGGTAAACACGAAATTAGAACATTATTCTTGTAAGAAATAATCTTCTGGATAATTCTATGCACGCATCGATTCAATCAACTTATTTGGGGATGGGGGTGAGGAAAAAGGAAAACACGTTGTCATTTTATCAGTTTGGTTTTGACAACAGAGTCATCTAGGACTCAAACGAATCCCCACCGTTTATGATGTTCTCAGGCCACTAAATCGACCGAACCTACCCAATGAGTCCCATAAGTGTGGAACCGGTTGTATTCTGTCGAAAAGTTTTCAGCAACCTTGTGAGTAGTGCATTACGCCCATACAATATTGCTTTTCTTTCTCTTTCTTTTCATCCGACTGAGAACTGATGACGAATTGCATTGACTTGCATCGGTCCCCTCCTGTTATCGTCAACCATATCACAGAAAAAGGCTTCAAAAATGAGTGGGCCAGAGGTGATTATTGAACTTCGTACCAGGCATTGGTGATGAAGGTCACGCATTCGCTCACTGGTACGTACCTTGAACTTGTTTTTCTACCTGAAGCTACCTGAAGTGGCTTTTCAAAATATTTATTTAAAGAGATAACTTGACGTACTCTGTGGGCTGTAGCAAAGCACAATGATATGGCGGAGGATGAGGATGTTCCTCGCTGCCAGTCTAGTCAATAAATCACCAAAGAAAGTTTCCGAAGTCACTGAAGCTCATTATCTTAGGCATACACCAGAAGCAAGTTTTGGAAAGTATGGGGTACACAAATCTTCCCCTAACTGGACTGCACCTACTCGATGAGTTCAAAAAAGGAGCAAAACCTGTCGTGGGCTGCCGAAGAGGAGTTTCATTGATCTTGTGAGTAGTGTGCTACGTCTAGATAACATCAAATATCGTACCAGCTGAAACATAAAGTTTCCTGGTGCAGTTTAATCAGACCATCATAAACGAGAGACGGAACTACATTCAGCTGAGTTTCTCCATTCGTGTGCAAATGAGAGTGTTTGTAGTAGTGGCTGTTATTTCTTCTCCGGAAAACACTCAATATATTAAATATTTTATCAACATTCCTCCACGTTTCAGGAGCTCTGGCTAGTTCGTAGTGAATCAAATGATCAATTATCAAAATGCAATCACCGGCGAGACGTAGACACCTGGATGCAACGGAATACCGACAATCGTTTGTGTTCTAATCAGAATGGCAACAAGGGAACTTGAACGCGCGATGCACCCTATGTTGCAATGGTTCCACCATCACGTTTGCAAACAGACAGATCTGATAAGCGGGAACTAGTGTGTTTTAAAACGACACACCTGGTTGTCGATGGGAAGACAGTTTACACTCATTTAGTTTTAAGCCGATTAATAACAGGACGCGGATCCCAATGGGACACAGCATTAGTGTATAGCCCTTACTCCACCATTCGACAACTGTCAGTAGTTCCATTAATGGACTTGATCCAAATTCAGATAACACTTTCAAATAGCATAGATAAATAATGGTTCTGGGTGTTTTTAACGCTTTCTGGTTGGCGAACGATGTGACGTGGGTTATGTAACTTCCAAAAAAAGTATTTTAGTCACCGGTGTACTGCTGTTTTTAGCTGTACGAATACTGTTTAGATGTTTAGCCGAATAAGCGTGCACCAAAATTGTGCAAACCCCTTTAACAGAGTGCATTTTTGTAAAGCATTTTGCCCAAACTGCTTGGTTCTGGTGAAGTTCGGCTCATCAGAGACAGAATTTCTACGAAATGAGTTCAAAGGCTGGACCATACACATACGTTCTGTTATTTATTCTTGTATTATCAACATACGGAGCGAGTTTCAAAGTTTGCAATATTTGCACTCACAACACACATCTGGTTGCAAAACACAATACAATGTTTATTTATTTTGAGAATACGTGGCTACTCTTCTTGCTAATTTAGATTTAGTTAACAAATTTTTGAAGATGTTAGTTACTCACGTGGCTGCACACGCATTCTTGAACATCTCTACAACTCTATGAAACTCTGGAAACATCAAAACCGAGAGATCCAGCTGGGTTCCAGGTGAGCCTCCCAAAAAATCAAATTAGTTTGCAAATGAGTATATATTCAGCAGTTGCGTGCAATTTAGTTCCTAGGTTGACAGAAACTCGGGGACTGTGGCTACCTGATGAGCCCCAAGCGGAAGGGTGAAACCGGTCGTGGGCTGTCA